CTAAACCGGATTTGTATGAATTTTTATATAATTACTTAAATGTTTACAAGTACTTTGTTCGATTTACATAAATATTATTTTGTTTCCATACACCATTTTTCGGTGAAACGACGTGTCATGTTCTGAATATGATTTCGACCGAAAATTACAGGGCAATTGCCACTGGCAGGTACTCAAAGGCTTAGAAGTTGCTGAATGAAGTTTTACTTGGAACTTACAAATGTGGATAACGTTAATAATAGAGTCCGCGACGATTACGGAAATATTGTTGCAAATAAATTCGTAAGTCTTTATCTATGGAGTTCAATAAAAGAATTTGTTGCTCATTTGTGTCCATTTGAAGCAGAATAAACACATAGAGTATAGCAATGTTAGGAGGAATTTCCAGGGCAGTAAAGTTGAAGCTACGATGTTGACGATATCTAAGCAAAGTTAGTTCGATTAATATAAGTTGAGTTGCTTGCAGCAGATCGCTCTTCAGTATAACTCTTGTAATTGGGCTAAAGCCAATTCTGAACTAGATCTGGAATCTTCTTCATAACCTATAGAATGATATATAGGTTGCTGCATGACGAAGGCGCAATATCTTGGGGCGCGAACGCGGTTTTATTAGCCGCAGAGCGCATGAGGTGCGGGAGCGGTGAGGGTACGCGCACTATTATTATACTATTATTGTAATTATAATTATTAATTGTTATTATATTTCACTATTATTATACGCGCGCTATATTATTTGTGAGGTCAAGCAGTCTCGCGAGGTGATGTAGTTTCCAGAGGTCCAACGGTACCCCTCCCCCTCTCCACGTACGGAGCCTCATATTTCGACGATGGTGGCATTTCATAATTTGATTTTTTTTCTACATCTTATACAGGAGGGTTCACTTAGTACCTATACCCTCGCAGGGAGATCGCACGCAGGCGACTAACTTAAATTTGAAACTCACGTGTGTTTTTCAAGCGTCTCCTTTTCCTTGCTGTAAGTCTCCTTCACTACATCCGATCTCTCTGCAAGGGTGTGTATACTACTCAATAAGCCTTCCTCCACAAGATGCAAAAATATAAATTTCAAAATGTCCCCCTCACGAAATATGAGACTGCAAAAAAGCCCATTTTAAATCCTCTTTTCCAGCATAACTTTTGTATGAGTAAATCAAATCTGAAGGGAAGGGTATAGGTAACTTCCTCACCTCGGCTTTAGACTGATATATAATATGTAGAGGTTTAATGCCCGCGGGCTGCTGGAAAAGGGGATGAGCAACCTCAGCTTAGCGTGCTCTCCCCTCGCCACCTTCTCAGAGAATCGCCGGCGGCAGGCGGCCATGCGATTTATGGGGCAGGCGGGCACCGAAAAAATAGTTTGTGATTTCTTGCGGTCCGCTTGCAGATATTTGGAAGAATCTAGGCGAAATTTCATACGAATGTTCGGAGAACCATTGCAGCTTTTTCAAAGATTAGTTGCGGCACAGTGGCCGCAATCTCGCGGACTTTCCGCGAGAGTATGCAAAATTGTTGGAGGCCCACGGCCCTTTGTTGAGGACCGCACAGCCCGTAGATACCTTCCGCTGAGAGAAAGTACTCCAAACTCGGGTAATCAAACCAACGATGACGCCTCTGCCATGTACAGTAAGTTTCGACCCGCTTTAGGAGGAAAGTGGATTGGCGGGAGTCCGCCTCGCAACAGCTCGCGCCGTTTCGCAGCTACAGTATATCCTATCGTGCTGAGAACCCATGTCTGCGTCTCTTTAATCTCCTTAGTCTTTGCTTGGCAAAATGCCAGCGCTATGCGCTCGTGAAACCTCCAGCGATGCGCATGCGGCTGCTCCACGTAGATTGTCTCGCCTAATCCGGGATGAAACTAACTGTAGAGTGTTACCTTTGCTCGGCGTACGCCCGAAACTGTGTAAGAAGAGTCAGGGCGCTCGCTGAAAGAAATCATTTGACGAGCGCCTGCAGAAAATCCTGTATTGCTGCCCCCTTGCAGAATATGCAATAGTAAAGGAAGTACCGCTTGCTGAAGGTTTGGCCACGCCCCAAAATTTTGCTGACCGCTTGCAGAAAAGCGCGAGTTAGCGGACCGCCTGCCCCCGGCGATAATCTGAGATCGTAACTTCGACTTTACTGCCCTAGGAATTTCTTCTAACATCAATTATACTATTCTTATCACTGCGTTACACTCCATATGTTTATTCTATTCAAGTGGACACAATTAAACAACAGATTCTTTTATTGTACTCCATAAAGAGCGACTTACGAATTGATTTGCAACAATCATAATCATCGCAAAGTGTCTTAATAACATTATCCACATTTGTAAGTTCTAGGTAAAACTGTACATCAACGCTCTTGTTTCAGGCGCCACGTTACGCCAGACGACGCCCTCGCAACGTGGCGCAAGCCCGAAGCGAGGCGGCGCTTCATCATCCACGTAATCCACGTCATGTTGAGTGAAGGCATATGGATTGATAGCGAGGATAGCTGTGCCGTAGTACATTTTTGCTACAATTATAACTTTTTCATTAAATCTTCAGGAAGATAAATGACTTTGAAAGTGAGTGATCCCCTGGGGATCCCCAGCGGATCACACAATATAGTAAATATCCAATGTTGTATGGCGGTAACCTGGCATCCATTATGCGCTAGTATCAGGGTATGAGTGCCTTCATAAGCCAAATAGAGGAAGAAGAAGAAGGATATCTAGAGTAGCAAGATATGACGCGTCGCCTCTCAGATCATTTCCCCTGCCCGCGGGGATGTAGGCGATTTATAGCACGTAAAGACTGCGGATTTACCGGCGTCTCTCTGATCGAGCGCTCTTTCGTTTCTCTTACCATCTGCTGTCTGTTCCATGCACGAACTATCTTGGCTGGACGCAGCGGTGCCCAGTCTTTGCGTGTCTTGAATCGTGTATACATGTATACCGGCTAAAAAGTTCAGCTACGCCTCCAAAAAAGTTCTTACAAAGCTAATTCAAAATTCGACTTTGTGAATGATTTAAAGAAATCAAAAACATATCAAAAGCAGCGTCCTGGCAAAATCACGGTATTGAGATTTCACAGTATTGCATAAGTAGACCCCCCCCAAGTAATCTACAGTGAAGTTTGAAGCAAAAAGGCGTATTTTGAAGGCCTGAAATTCATTCTAGAAATCTTCCAGACCCCACCCCCTCGTTCCGGACCCCGCCCACTTAAACGTAATTTTTGGCGGACGAGGACAAGAAGAGCTTTGTAGAAAGCAACATTGTAGCCGTTTTCATGCGCTGAAAAGTCCAGATATGGCTTCAGCATGGAGAAAAGGCTTTGATAAGGTGAAAAACCGGGAAGCGAATTTTGCTAAGACACTGCCTGTGATCAATCACAAGTGTAAGCAAGTCATTTGCAGGTTTTTGTAACTCATGTCAGGCTTCAAAAGTTCGCGACCCATTCTGGAGAGGGACGCATCCTCCTCCCGCCTCCCGCTTCTTCTCGGTCCTTCACTGATATAATAACTGAGATATATCGTCGCTTCCGTAGCTGCTGTTACCCGGTTTGCGTTTCCGACCTGCGACACACTTGGCCGATATGTTGGCAACACGGAGCAACATGGCGCTGAGACTGATAGCCGAAATGTTTCGTCAGCACGTTGCATGTTACAAACATGTTGACGCAGTTGTCAACGGGAGGCACGCAGAAGGCGACAATCGTAAAATGCAAGCACAGTAAAATCGCTCTTGCTAATTTTTACAAAATTTCGGGTGGAGGACTATATGTCGCCGAATTTGAAAGAGTCCCGCGCGGATTCCGTGCAGGAACACATGTCCGCGCATGTACAAGAGTGCGTATTTGTCGCAAATGACCGCGGGGACCGCCCTTTTTCGGCGACATGTAGTCCTCTACCCCAAAATTTCACTTATGGCATAGAGTCATGTATAGTTCATTCGTTGACTGCACGGACTGGACATCACTACGAATCATGCGCCGCGAAGTAAAACGCTTGCCCCAGTACAAATCCGTAATTGTACAAATCGCGCTCTCGTTACATTTCAGCCGCGCCGCGCGGGTCCGCCGCGTTGAGCAGTCCGTGCGGTCAATGAATCAACGATATCTGTCCCCCTCCCCACCTCCACCCCCTACTTGGCGTCGTGTGACTTTAGCACCGAAGGGTTTTGGAAGGCACGAGATTTGAGGATTGTCGTCTTCCGCACCACACCCGATATAACCTTTGATTCAACTGGCTTGGCTTAGGGAAGGCGGAGCTTTGTGACCTAATTAAGGCCACTCGCGCCCGCGACGCAGTCTGCGTCTCTGTCGCGCGCGTGCTCTCTGATCATTACCTAGCTTTAATTAGGCGAAACCCCGCCTTCCCGAAGCCAAGCCATTTTCAAATGGTACTCATCAATATCGGTCCCAGGATTTCTGCCCTTTTGCAATGTTCTTGCAAGTCGTTCCGGACCAGTAGTCCACGAAGGCGGTCTAAAGTGGCGGAGTCCGTTCCCCTACAACTGTGCAACAGCATTTAGTACTAAAAAACACAAACGGAGCACCAGCAGCACAAAAAGGCGTCTGCTCCCAAACACGCGCATGTCCACAAACAAGCGCAAACAGACGCGACTGCCTGCTCTGTATCCATCATGCACGTTTAAATTCGCAAACAAATGCGATCTGACCAGATCAATAAAGAAGGAAGATGACTGCCAATAGTCGGTATCATGAATCGCTTCCGAAAAAAAATTCAAAAACATAGGCTGCGATCCCAATAAAATCTTCACATTTTCCCTGCTATGATAATGACGCCAAATTTGGCATCACATTATGCTATGCATCTAACATATGTAATTACAAAGTTGGTGCAAATAAACTCGGAACTTCGAAAACGAACTCTAGCCAAAAACCAACACAATTACTCGTTTACTCTTAAGACTCTTCAAAAGTTGAACAATGTTTTTGCAAACATATTCCAATAAAGACTATTCGTTCTGATCAAATTCGGCCCAGCAGCTTTTTCAATATAAAGAGCATACTTACCTTGAATGTCATACTGTCTTTTGAATGATTTCCATAGGATCTCTTCAGATATTCTGGAAGACGGCTGCACAGATACTAACTTGTTGGAGAGCCACAATAAGCAAGTCTGCAACAACCGGTTGTAACCACAAAAATTATAGTCTACTGCCGGACGAAAGCGCAAAAGCTAGGGGCGTGCATACGTTCTATTATCCTAGGGGGCCCGAGACGCAGGGTTTACAACTGCATACGAGTGTTCACTTAGCTGAGATTACTTGTGCACCTTCGTCCGACAAATGACATACTAGTGAGCGTAGACAAGAAAGCGACTAGAAACAGTCACGCACATTCTTCGAATCCGTTGAAAGGAAACACACAAACGCTGAGAACAGCACAGCCCATTCTCCGACAATGATCATTCGCGAGGCACCCTTTCTCTGTCAAATACGAAGGTAGAGTTCAAGTGAGATTTAATTTCCAAATTTTTGCTTACCGGCTCATCCGCTACGCTGACAAAACCCATCTAAGGTAGCGCGATGAGGCAAGAAGAGACGTTTTCCACAGTTTGAATTTGAAATTCAGCAATTCGCGCCAATGCAGGGTCGCTGTGGGACCCATCACTTAACGGGAGCAGCATCCGCACGCTTGAAAGCCGCGTTGGCATTCGGCGTGAATGAGGCTTTTTTGTGGCGTCCCAACTTCCCAAGTGATTTCTCGCTGTCCAACATTGTGGTCCCATACTTGTGCGGGGACGTGCCCGAGGGCATCCGGATGAGCTAAAACTAGCATACTCACATCCCCCACTGCATCGAACGGTCCTCGATATATGGGACCGTCTTCTGTAACCTGAGGGCAAATACCAAAAGTCAAACTGTCGTCATACCACCTTTCGATGCCATTTCCAGCTTAGCGTTGCCTTGCTGTTAACGATTTCAGATCATTTTTTCAAGTATCGCACTGACCAAAGCATTCCAGAAAAGATGGCTGGTGGGAAAGGGAAGCTTCTTTCAAAGGATTCTGGAAAATCCAAGTCGAAAGGGTACTCGCGTAGCCGTAGAGCTGGTCTGCACTTTCCAGTCGGTAGAATTCATCGTTTTCTCAAACAAAGAACGAGTTCATCTAATCGCGTTGGAGCTGCTGCAGCCGTTTACAGGTAGGTTAAGAAAATTGTTCAAGCATCGAAGTTAGCTGTATGCTTATAGCGCTGCCATCCTCGAATATCTGACTGCTGAGATTCTGGAGTTGGCTGGGAATGCTTCAAAAGATCTCAAGGTGAAAAGAATTACCCCCAGACATCTTCAACTTGCCATTCGAGGAGACGAAGAGCTCGACACGTTGATCAAGGCTACTATTGCCGGAGGAGGTGAGTATCTCTGCAGCACTTATACCATCTGTTTCTTGATCTCATACTTACAGGTGTTATCCCTCACATCCACCGTTACTTGACTACCAAGAAAGGACAGAAATCTGAAAAGGATTGAAAAGAACAAGCAGTTCCAGCACCGTCGCCGTAGGCGATCGTGTGTTCAGCAATCATTGTGCACTTGTTAATTATTGTAATGCCTGATTGCTTGATTCATGTCTGCCAGCAATGATTTGTTGTTTAGCATTTTTTTTGCTGATTGTGAGTTTATTTTTGTTTGTTGAATAAAGTAAATATGAACTCCTTCGTACACCACATCATCATCATCATCATCACCTCCATCGTACACCACATGTACCACTTATCATACTACATGAAGTAATCACTTTCGTTGCACATTATGACAATACAAACATTGTATCGATTCACGGTACTAAAAGTTAGACCTCTTATTATCGGCTTTGTTCATGTTTGTAGCGCTTCAAGGGCCTGGTTTGATGCCACTGAGGTTCAGTGACGGGCTGAAGTTCCACTGGTTTGTACACATCAGTTATACCTTCATCTAATTAACAGCTCAGCTGACTAGTAAGGTTGGAGGTAAGGTGATTGAGGTAGAATATGAGTTACTATATTCGATGCTGTTGGCAGGTTTGACTTGAAAATCATAGTATTATATCATTAAATGTACGACGACAATAACGAGGGCTGAAGCATGATGTTGTACAAGAGCTGAAAGCGAATGTTTCTTTCGTTGGCCTATTTACAAATTTACTTTTTTTCTATAGTGGGCCAAGGTAGCATCATTACAGAGCACTCTCTCAGAACACTTGCCTGTGATTTCGCGAAAATGAATGCTCCAAAATACAAAACTCGTAGGAAGTAGGACAGTCCTTGAATATAGGGCTTATTTTGAACCGTTCGCGGTCCGAATATTTGCAGCAGAACAAACTAAAGAACCACCTTTATTCATACAATGATACTCGACATACACTACCAAATAGGTAGTTTCTTTCCATTGCCGACTGACGGACAACTTTACTATTTGCAGCCTTAGTGTGCCGATATAGTCAGCACTTTCAACAACCTTATCAATTACTCTTTCCTATGTAGCCTTCAAGTCACCAACTCGCGACCACGAGTGATTGTATTGATATGCATTTATCTTACCTTGCTCCGCTTATTAAAAGCAGCATTCTACTCCTGCCCAAATATGGGTGTTGATGTCTCAATAAAGCTTATATAAACTTAGTTTTGTGTAGACACAAAAGGAGTTACCAAACTCCAGTATCGGCTATACCATGAGATTGGTTAGCCAATACATTCTTTGCCTTTGCCATTAGACTGGTAAGCCGTCATAAGCTCATCTCATACAGCACCAGCTTTCGTTCCTTTTTCCGTTCCCAGCGGGCTTTCTATTTCCTTTCAAGTACAGTAGAAGCTCGGAGACAACGGGATGTAATGAGGGTGAAGTCTAGCGTACCGACCTCAGGAGTCTGTACTTTTGCTCTTCTCTCCTTTCCCAGGCAAGGAAAAGAAGAAAAGAGCGAAATTCTATTTAATACTTTAAGGTGGCTTTACGCGTCATTGCGCGCCACATGCTTGTCGGTGATCGTTGTTTATCCTAAACGAGAGTGACGGAGTTCACCAAGTGTATCAAAGCAAGAGGAAACAAAATTTGACCACAAACGTTTGAACAGCTATGTAACCATTAGGGGCCCAATGAGATTAGCATCTCTGAAAACATCATGTCTTCATTATCACATCATCATCTCACGTTACTGTTCCACTAAATAACTGAACTAGTGCGCTCGAAATCAATCCGATCGTAATCTTGCAATTATGTTAACATGGAGTCCGTGAGGGGGGGGGGGGGGATGGGGGCGTTGAGACGAAAGAATGATTAACGATTACACATTGAGCTGCACACTCAACCCATACCCTGGACAGGGTATGGGTTGAGTGTGCAGGTTGCAGAGAGCGGAATGGAGCACTAAACGATTCGCAGCATGTTACGAGAAATGATCGTGTTACTGCACAGTCTACCAAGCGGAGATAGGTCAAATCAATCAGCGTAGGAAGGATGTCCGCCTCACCGGTGAACCGTATCAACGAGCGACTAGCAATATGTTGCTAGCCAACCCAAGATCGCAGAGATTGTAGAGACGCAGATATAGCCTGGGTCAATTAGGTAAACTTTCCGTCGGCACAATCATCACGCGCCACAGCTTCGCACCACTTTTGCACGCGTCGACTTAGCGCAATAGGGAGTACGTCTTCGACACAAACTGTAGGCGTTCTGACAGACTCACACTTGCGCAGGCGATAGTGGCTGTGGAGGGGTTCGACGCTGAAGGCCGACCCGCGCGCGTTCGGGTTAGAGTCACGATTCTTCGCGAAGCGAAGCCGCCACACGATGTCAGCCAGTACAGGGGACCTCCCGTCAACCTAGTGCCGTACTACTAACTACGCCTTAATCATGTATCTACAGCCACCCTCCCCCCACCCCCTATCTGCCACTTAGCATCGGAGAGTTCTTGTGAGCTACGTACAAAATTCGGGAGCGGCAAAGCTGCGCCGTGCGCGGTGTGAGGCTCCCGCCAGAGTGCCGAAGCCATGCCAGCGCTACGCCAGCGCCGAGCGGGTGTATGTCAAGAGGCGCGATTTTTATTGCCAGCTGGACAGCAAATAGCACATATGTAGTGTTTTATAAGGTTCTGGGAGTATTTTAGAGTTTAGGCGAGATATATTAGATGGTTGCACGGGTTGTCCAGTCTTACTATTTCAGAAGCGATTCAGAATGAAAATGTTGAAGGTCAAAAACTCTTGAAAATGCAATTAAGAACAAATTCGTAAATTCGGTCCGTTTTTCAGCAGAAGCCATTAAATTCAGCAAGTAGTAACCTCAGACAGATAGTTAACGCACTTTATCTGGTACTTTATGAAGACTCGCATAGCACCAAACTGGGCTTTTAAGTTGGTGACAGCCGGAGAAATCGCGCCTCTTGACCCTCTCCCGCGCCGAGCTAGCGTTTCGATCGATACACGTGTATTTCGTTGGGGCGGGGCTATCTCAGCCAGGACCCCGCCCCAACGAAATACACCTTTATCGATCGAAACGCTAGCTCGGCGCTGGCGTAGCGCTGGCATGGCTTCGGCACTCTGGCGGGAGCCTGACTCATAACCCGTAGCCCTTCCGCGCTGTGCTCGAAGGGCAACGCTGTTGCGTCTATTGAAAATAGTTCATGAAGGCACATAGGGAAAAAATACGGCGATATACACGAGAGGAGTGAAGAGCAGTACACAATTCCGCGCCCTGCGCGGACGGCCCATAGGTAGATGCCAGACGGGTGGAGGACATTAGGTCGCCGAATTTGGAAGAGTCCCGCGCGGATTCGCTGCAGGAACGCATGTCCGCGTATGTACAAGGGTGCGTATTTGTCGCGAATGACCGCGGGGACCGCCCTCTTTCGGCGACCTAATGTCCTCCACCCATGCAGGACATAATTCTGCGCGCCTTCTGCAGCTGAACGAAGCTGAACAAAATATTTGCTTACTCTGGCATTTACCATACCGGCTTAGGACTTCGCCGAATGCATAGCTTGAAGTAAACCCGTCTCCACCGTCTAGCTCGCTGGAGGCCTCATTCCACTGGTGGTTGGCAATTTCATTGTAGAGAGGAGGACAACGTAGTACAGGCCTCGTAAAATTCCACTGCCCATGCGTCGCTTTGAACGCCAGTGCAGGGGGCGGCCGGAAACGTTAGGTCCCGGAGGGCTACAGGGTTGTTATAAGTGGCCATGAGCGCACACCGCTTCCACACATATTTTTATGAACTTTTGAAGGTTTTCGTTAAAATTTACTTTACTTTGTTCGAAAACAACATGAAAGCTGACGGAAAATTTCTTGGAATCAGTGAACGCCTGTAGTCGTCCGTGACGACTACAGGCGTTCACTAATCGACCGCTCGCCTACGGTGGTGTCCAGAACATGGTGCGGGCAAACAGATTTTACGAGGCCTAACGTCTTCGTGTCGGGGAAGAATCCAGCATTCGATCACCAGGATTTGATCCTTTCTGACCGCACCTAAGGCCCCGGGCAGACTTCACGCGATTTGATCGTCGCGACTGAATCGCGAGGAGACAACTGTTACAACATCATTCCATGCAGATCAACTTGCATTCGGTTGTGATACTTTTCCAGACCGAAATTTTTGAATGTGAAATGAAAATGAATGGAAATCTTGGCGATTTGGTCGCGACGATTAAGTCGCGTGAAGTCTGACCGGGGCCTAAAGCGCTGGGTGATAACTCAATATCGGATTGCTCAGGACGCCATTTGGATCCAAAACGACCATCCTACGCCAACATTCTCCATGTCAGAATACCGTGACTCGGATCACCGCCTCCTTTAAAGGCAGCATCCGGGCAAGGAGTCGATTCTGTTTCTTGCTTATCTGGGCCTATTCCCTATGCTGAATCCGTAATTCCATACTGGAGAGCGCAAAAACGTTGAAAAAGGGCTTTGATGCAGGAAGAAAATCAGGAGGTATCTCACCTTGTGAAGACACTCTACCAGCTTCCGGAGCGATCTTCTCGCTTCCGCTAGCCGCACAGAGTGAAAGATCTCGACCTTCCGATTACCCTCCTTCAAAGCCCTTTTTCGCCTTTCTCGCGCTCTAGCATGGTTTTTTTGGATTCAACATAGCGAATAGGCCCGTTTAAGCAAAAACCCAAAATCAACTTTTTGCCCGGACTCTGCTTTTAAAGGCAGTGGATCGGCAAAATGGACCTTACCCGGATTGTGGTGGTAGGTAGTAGACCCCCAACTATACTGCAGCTCAAAAAATCCTGAAAATGCGCTTCAAAACTCTACCGGCACCGCCCATTCGATGGAGGTGGGCGAGGCCGCTGGAGTTTTGAAGCGCGTTTTTTAAGACTTAACGAATGAATTGGGGCCCCATTTAAATCTACAGAGTCGGCTGCGCGGGCGGTCGCGTCGCGCGCGCAGCTTTTATCAACGGGTCACGCTTGCCATCGTGCAATGCTAAATCTTAACATTTCGGTATGTGCTTTCGCTAATCGATTGGTGATCGAGGGCACTGCAGTTTACACTTTATGGGCTCTTCCCGTACGTCAGCCACCAAATGTTGCTGAGACTCCAGATAGATATTTCAAGAGCCTGTTTTGGATAACTGTAAGGTTTGCTACCTATGTTGGGCAACCAAGCTCGGATGGAAATATCACATCTGCTTCTCGAGTTTATGAGA